ATATTTAACATTACATAACCAAGTTCATATAATCATACGTGTATTAATATGACATATGGTGTTTGTATAGTTCTTTTTCTCAAAAAGGACACATATCAATCACAAGCAAAATATCTAATGATTGCAATTTCATGAAATACCTAGATATCTGTCATAAATTCTGATATATTTAGATATCACAACTAAATACAACTAAGATATCTAACATCCTCCACTGTCTCCACTTCCCCTTTTTTTGGGACGCGCCACCAGAGGGACGTCTTGGACACGACGTCGGTCAGGCGCCGTGTGCAGCAACGGCACGGCGAGTTCCGTGCTGCCGGATGAGGCCACCAGAGAGGCGGTGAGCAGGCGCGGCTTCAATGGGGGAACCCCAGCTGGATGGTTTATGGACCATGGAAAATCCCAATCTAAAATGGATGATGACTGGGGATAGCCCTTTTTTAGGAAACCTCCAAATAGCCATAATAGTAGCAGAATATGATATAATATGATATAATATTATATAATATGATTTAATATGATTTAATATGATATAATATGATATAATATGATAAAATATGATATGGGATATAGAAATAGTAGCGTAATAGCCATAATATAACTAGCTGTTAGCCATAATACTGTATCTAATATGCGAAAATATGGAGAACATGTGGCATTTCTGGTGAAACATAGCCATATATAGCCCTATGTTTATATCACATACATTAATTAGTAGTGGAGAATGGATCTAATATCTGATGGATATATCCCATATTTGGGGAATATCTAACATATAACAGATATATCAACATGAATAGCAACAGGACAATACAGTTAGATGGATAAGATGTACCTATCATTTGGTTATTTGTACTGTGTATATATATATATCATGGCATATCCTATTAAGATGGATCTTCAAGGATACAATTTAATTGGTAATATATGGATGGTTGATAATATATGAGAATATATATACATATATGTGGATAGGTTATTATAAGTAACTGCCAAAGTTGACGGATAATTACTATCCCAATAGCTGATATTTACCATTTAATGTGTGAAATATGATGGTGATATGTGAATTATGAGATATGATATACATATATATATTTATACACATATGACCGGTACTATCAATCCAAAAGTAATCCATCATAACTCAATGGATAGTTGATAATACAAGTAACATAGTTGATAAACACGTAAATATGTATATATTTTTCTTCTACACACACTAATAACGGAGAGTCTGATAACAGAAAGTGGACATGTCAGGTAACTGGTGGTACTGATGTTAATTTCGAGCCAATAATTGATTACTTATAGTTGATAATTGACAAAATATGGTTAATCATATGTATATATATAGGACTACATAGTTACAGTTGATAATGATATGTGGGGTGTGTGTTTCACCAACTGATAGTGATTGTGATGTCAGGACTTTAAAATTATGCCAATGATGGTAATGTAATTATTGAATAGTAAACAACCAACTTAAATTAAAACAACGTCAATATAACTTGGTAGTTTGGATAATAATGATAACCAAGTATTAAAAACACACATCAACTTGAAAACCCTTCACATGATTGTGCAATGATTTATTTGTAGAGGATAGTCATGTGAAGTGAGGACACCGAGTTGTAGTTGGTAAGAATAGTGTGGTTTATAATATGTGAATTGATAATAGTATAGTGATGTATGGTAACTACTAAGTTGCTCGCAACTTAGGAATATAAACTACTGATAATACACTCCCATACCTCCAATACCTCCTGATGTGTTGGATCTACTCCTTTTGGTGGTAGTTTAACAGCATGGATTTAAATCATGAATGGTTGAAATGTGGTGTGTGTGTGTGTGTGTGCGATAACGGGGTATACCGGTATGTCATGTCAATAAGGAAAAGGATGATACAGTAAACGATGTGATTTTGTGGTACCTTATTTTCACACACACATAGTTTGGCTTGGGGGATAGTAGATTAGATTAGATGAGATAGAAAGATAGACAGGCGGACAGAATGATAGATTTAATACAACTATATATATATAATGATATATACACAGACACATGTATGCATGTAGTGTCATGCTGTGGTGTGGTATGGTTTTCTTTGGAATACTATTTAATTAAGGTAAGGTGGTAATGTAAGGCAAGGTAGGATAGTGAAATTGCAGCGCAGCGCATCGTAATGTATGTACACCTCAGGTAAGACTCGGAATGAGTGAGCATGGGTTTGGGTGCATACATTGAGCATGGCTGGACAAACGGTAACATGTACATGTACATTTGTGTATACATATACCCTCTGGTAATTTAACATAGCTATTGAAAATGGTTATCTTATAGTTGATTTATGATTTACCTATTTAAAATGGATATTTTCCATAGCTATGTAAACGTTTACCAGAGGGTACACATAAAGATACAGGGGAGGTATGATCTATGTAAAATGCAACGCGGATCCAGAGTTCGGAACATTTTCACAGCATCTTCAACAGGGCTTTGGGGAATTTGTGAGCAACTCCCGGTAATTAAACATGGCTGAGTAAATCCTTTGTTCTTGTGGAATCTTCCTGTTATGTTTGATCACCAGAGTGTAGATGCTCATATATGTTCCATGTCTCTTTCTTACATCCAACGAATGGCAACCCAAAAAAAAATGTTTAGAAATAAACTCCTACAAAAACAAACAAGGATAAAGTACTCCTCTACCCTTTGGAATCATTTGGGGTTGCTATAACTATGTTTCTCATCAGAAGACCTTTGAGCGATCCGCAGATGGCGTGAACGACGGCGATCTGCACTGGCCACACCAGGTGTGGATGGTGACTGGAGAGCGCCCTTGAGAGGTTTGAATCAACAGGTAATCCCATCTGTCCCATCTCCGCAATCTTATTGATAAATAGGGATTATATGGGATTATATGTATAGAGAGAGATTTATATATATATATCCTTCGACAGGGACTTAACAATCAAAAGTGGGTGTTAAGCCCATCCTCCGATCATATTAGATACCCCCAATGTTAGTACAATCTCCAATGCTAAGCCAAGGTTTCTAAGGGGGGTTGGTTTGAATTGGGTGGATGGGATTGTAGTGGAGAAGCCGCCAAAAACAGAGGATTTTATCAACATCTTTGAGTTGTTTGCAACCAAAAACCAGATGGGATAACTGCAAAAAATGTCGGGTTCTAAGTTACAGCTCAAAAAAAAACAAAACGTTTTTGATATCTCATGGTTTTTTTCCACAGACAGTTCTGTGCTAATGATTTGCTGGGAAAACCATGGCATCGAATTCCCAAGATCAGTTGGGGACTCGGAAAAGGTCAATTTTTAAAGGATGAAGCAGTGGATTCAGTGGATGTACGGGTATCACTTCGTATCACATTAAAAAAGAGCCATTTCTATATTCTGTAATATCATCTATCATACTATGCTACTATTATGATCTATTATGGCTATTTCTATGTCATATTTCCAAATATTTGGATGTGCAGGTAATCTTCATTTGGACAATTCCCCAGCAATCAGCCTGGATTCTCCCAGCAGTCACATGTACCAAAGCTCCATAGCCAGATGTGGATTTTCTAGCCGATTGGAAAGATGCTACGACCCAAGTGGACCAAACTCAGTGGGAAAACAAAAAACCAAGAAGTTCCTTAGACATCTAAAGATGGTAAAGATGTTGTTGAGAGTATCAATTTGGCCTATGTCAGGCCTATGTTCCTCTCGCCCAAAATCGTGGTTACATTGGTAGCACGTTCTAAAAACCGCCTGTTTTCTGATCGGATATCGGATGACCTCCATAGACCTAATCATTAACCTTACATATCCCCATGTTGGTTGTCCCCGTGTCATCATATGTGGAGCTCAAACAGCATAAACTGGTTGTACCTCCTGAAAATCATTGAAAATCTATGTTCCCCACATATATTTATATAACCTGTATATGCATATATATATACACACACATGGTTTTAACTAGGTTCTACCCTTCAATATTGTATCCTTCTGCGAAGGGTTGCCGAATCCTGCACCAGTTGGTAGATGGGCAGTAAACATCCCATTCGAATCCCATAAAATCGTCCCAGTATGTCCCAGTGTTTCATAGGAATCCCAATACCCACTGCGGCAGGCCCGAGGGGAGACTGGCGACTGCCTACGGTGCGCTGTTTTCACGTTGGCCTTTTCGCTTTTCAAGCGTTTTCCAGCGCTTGCTGGGTGGGGTTGTGCCACAGATGGACTTTCAATGACAATGTTCATGGGGAAAATGATGCTATAACCATGCTATTAATATCTATTAATCAATATAATGCCATATCTTTTTCGGTGTTCCCATCAATCTTTCAGACAACGAAAAAAAAAAAAGGCCGGTGGTTTTTCTGGGGCTTCGCCCTGAACTTCAAGCCACCAGGATGAGGAACTGGACAACGAATTGCTGACTGATCAGACCATCCAGGCTGCGAAGGTGGGAAGGGATGGAAGGTGGGTCACAAGACGCTGCAGGCCAGAGCTTCGTTTTATAGGTATGACTGGGGTGATTATGGTTAGAAAATGTTATGAACCCCCATAAGTTCCATAAGTATCCAGAATGAGCTTAGTTGTATAAGAAATTATAGGTATCACTATGGTTATAAATCCCTCTTTGGGATATGACCCTACAACATCCTACAACTATGGTTACAGAGCCGCTGATAACTGGAACTGCACTTCCAACTTCCAACTGTGGAGGTTGAAGATGCTTGGACCACGTTAAGCCAGCAGAATTGATGAAAGGGACGCTTTTATTCACCATTTTTGGTGGGGTTCAACCTAGCTCAATGATTAATAGCGCATGGATATGAAGTACCTGTTAATTAAATCCCATCAAATTCGTGTGATCCAAACTGACCTGCTTTTTGATGTGCTGAAACACCATTTAAACGGATCGATTTTTTTTGATGTCCGGACTGGTTGAAAAATCCGCAGTTTTTGGAGGATCAAAAGTACAGGTTTTTTCTGGTTGTGTGCTTTGAGCACCAGAGTCGTAGGTTGAGATTTGCAGAGCCCCGTCCGCGTTTTTCGCAGCCAGAGAGAGTTGCGCCTCGACTCGACAGAGATACCACGACGATGTTGTGACAGTATCCCCAAAATCTATACCATGGTTGGTCATCATTGTCCTCATTAATGTGCACGGTTTATTCATGTTTGTTCTGTATTCCCTATTTTTTGGGGGCAAAACCAGAGAATGAGAAGCTCCCCATCAGAGTTCGGAAAATCAGAAAATCCAGTCCATTTCGACACAGCTGGAAGCCACATTTAAATCATTTCGGCAAGGTGTTTTCAAAAAATGGGAAGCTGAGGTGAAAATGGAAACCTCCATTCTCATTGAAGGATTTGGAAAGAGCACCTCGACACTCTCGGCAGCCGAAGATTCTAACCGCCGGAACCAACAGGGTTCATGTTCTGTTGTTCTGTTGGTGGTTTTTTGGATGATTTCTTCACCACATATAATCATCAATTACCACAATTTACCACATATTAATGATATTACCACATATTCACCACATATTTGCCAGCAACCTTTTTTCGGAGTTCGTAGTGGTAATGCAGGGGGTACCCGTTTTTTGTGGGTCACCCGAGATTCGTGCAGTCTCGGCAGTTTCCCGTGTTGAGAAGTAGGGACTGTACAACTCATGACTGGGCATAAATATATATATATATATGTGTGTGTGTGTGTGCATGCAATGCAATGCAAAGCAAAGAAAAGCAATGCAATGCAATGCAATGCAATGTAATGTAATGTAATGTATGTATACATGTATACATGTAGATGTATAGATATATATATATATATACACACACCTTGTATGTGTCACATATTACATAGCTGCATATTCTACATGTCAATGATCCAACAAAATCCTTAGGCTTTGCTCTCGATCTCCGTCTAAGTTCGTTGGATTTGCAGCTGACCGCAATACAGAGCCGCGGCACCAATTTTTTTGGAGCACCGGGACCACGACCAGTTTTCCACAGATCGGCCATCGAAATGAATGGGGGCGTCCAAACTGTTCACTGGAGGGTTAGTAGATGTTAGTAGAAAATGTAGGCTGATTCATGCTGATTCTGTAACTTTGAGTAACTTTGAGCAGTTCCAATTGGCTCTGAGAAGTATGAAAATTGGCTGCGCCTCGGATCCAGCGGTGTAAAAAAGCAGCATTTCTCCCTTTTCAGGTGGCTTCATTCCTAGGGTGTGCCATATGTGCCATCCAAAAACAGGCAAAGCATGGCAAAGTAACTCTCAGAAAGTGGGGATGCCTCAACAGTTTCAACCGAAAACGTCAAGAAACCATGCAGGATGGGGCCCCCGTTCGATAGCGTTCAGGTGCCTTATTTCAGTGGCTGAATTCTATGGTTTATGGTGATATAAATATAGTGAATGGGGATTATAATGGTTTATCAGCCAACTTATAACTGGGCCCCATCCTGTGTGTTTTCCCATATTTTTCCCCAAATCTGGTGTCCCATGGAAAACAAAGCAGCACTGAGGAGTGTCTTATCCATTCTGGAGCACAGTATCCGAGCCACTCTGCTGTTGATTATAGGGGATTCATGGGGGGTGAATTTCATCAATCTATAGGGTGATTCATCATGAAACATTTGGGTTTTTTTGGGGGATAAGGTGATAAATGATGGTTGGTTGATGATTGGAGGTTATACTGCCCAATATATTGGGGATCATCATAGTCCATAAACAAGGATTTCCTTTTATTTAGCTTGTGTAATGGAGCGACAGTTGGTTTTGAACATTACTCAATTCTTACACGTGTCCGGAAATCCGGAAAATGTGGACTAACTGTCGCCCACATGAAGATTTAACATGATTTAACGGGAACAATTATGAGGATGTCATGGCTGCTGTTGAGACAAAGCTTGGAAATCAGACCTACCTTCATTACTTGTTTCCCTACTTTTGACCCTTGAATCAAAAGTCTGGACGAAGGGTTTTCTACCTTCTCAATGGTATGTGCCTGTCTCAACCCTTCTCCCTGTATCAAAGGTGCTTTCTTTTTCCCCTCCTCAAAGGTCCTGGTTTCCCAACCGTATTCCCGGAAAATGTTCCCATGTTCGAAGGATTTCTCAAGGCCAAGTGTTTTCCCACAGTGAAGGTTCGCGCTCAAGGCTGCCAAAAAAATAAAAAATAAAATAAAATCCCGGAGACAAACCCATACCCCGGGGAAGAACACTTGCGACCGAACATTGCAAATATGCATAAAACATGCTATGTGTTTTTCTCAATGGTATGTGCCCGTCTTAATTTTTTTAAAATTTTTATTTTTATTTTTTCTCCCCGGAGGTCCCGGAGAGGAACCCTTGGAATTTCTTCCCCCGGAGGTCCCGTAGAGGAACCCTTGAAACCCTTTTGCTCGTTTTTTTCTCTTTGTCGTCTTTCGTCGTCCGTCGTGTTTCAATGGGGATCCTTGAGACAGACACTTGACCTGAGCAAGACCACAAACGAGAAAGTACCTTGGCGCAGACCTTCGATTGAATCGACAGAGTTGGGTTGGTGAGAAATCATCCCAAAACCAGTCTACTTTGGACTTGTTTGTCATTTGCCTTGGACGCAACGTCCAATGAAAGGCCCAAATTTGGACCTGAAATGTTTCTACACATCCATCCCAACTGGTGGCTTCATTCATACCATCCCTGTTTCCCAAAAAACCAAGTCTCGCCTTTGGCAATTTGGTCATGCACGATGGAAAAACATCGACCTCCCATAGATCAAAAGGCTATTTTGGTCAGAAACTGAATAACCCTGAATCACTACTTGGCATATCCACTTCCATGTTCATGCCTCAAAAAAAACAAAATATAGCTATCCAGTCATCCCAAAGATTTTTCAACATCTTTCCAGCATGAAAAATTGAGAGTTTCCGGAGTTTCCGTGTCCAGGTGACATCCCGCGCAGAGGACCAGAAGCTTCTTAGGCTCCAGGTTGAGGAGGCGGTTTCCTCGGCGGAACCAATGGATTGGTTGATGTTGGTTGGTCCCAACAATGGGACGAACGGAAAATCATGGTTAATGGATGTTAATGGTGATCTTTTCTATGGAATTATACGGGTTTTATAACATTTATATGGGTGAATTTCATGGTGATTCATGGATGATTGAGGGTTGATATAGCTTAATGGTTAATAAGGTGGTGATGAATGATGATTAATAATTAACCAGCTTAAGAATGCTTGATGAGTGGTGATTAAATGTGATTAATGGCGAATACCTGAAGTATACGTAGCTTGTTTGGTGTTTTTGCCTAGTGATTCAATACGGGTGTTGCACATGATAACTCATGAAAGCACCTTGAATAACTTCAGCAGTGGCTGCGATCTAGCCCGATTCTTCTTCACTATTTCAGGTAAACAGCTTGTCACTACTTGGGAGTGCAATTCCAACTGTCAGGTTGTAGTTCTATCCCAATATCCCACCGTCTCATGGTAGCCATGAATATCCTCGACTCAACGGCATTCGTAAAATGCTTCTATACCCATAGGATCCATGTATGCCATATATGGTAACATTTACCATCACTATACCCCCAATGTTAGCATATATACCATACATGGATCCTATGGGTTCTAAATATTGTTGTCTAAGCATAGTGCTTCTATCCCAATCATCATGAAGCCATCCATCGGTGGCCCCCGGAGGTGGAAGATTTACGTCAGCGTTTGTTCACCGACTCCATTCAGGTGACCCTGACCGAGTCAGAGGAGGACGGTGATTTTTTTTCTGTCGCCGTGACGTCGTGAAACACGGGGGAAATCCCATGGGAATTTGGCCATGTTCATGGGTTCAAATGGAGTTGAGCAATATATTTATGGTGAAGTTCAATGGAATTTCAGCCGCAAAAATGTGGATTCGACTGATTTAAGCAGCAAAGTTCGATTGGATTTTGACTGATTGATATTTCAGAAAGATTGGTGTCTTAAGGATGAAACATAGGTCAAAGTAAGCGTGAATACTATAGTAGAATAGGAGACGGTTTACACAATGAACCTGCAGGATATGGGGTTGTCCATCACCTGCAGAAATGGCTTTGTCGGAAAATAGGATACCCCCAAAAAATCCACTGGTTCTTCATCACGCTCCTATCCTATCAATATCGCCATTTTATGTAATTATCATGAAAATTATCATGAAAATTATCATTAATTATCATAAAAATTATCCACCATGTTCATAAAAAACACCATTCATCAAAGAAAATCCAGCTGGTTTTTCTGATGACGTAGGCGAAATCCATGGGATCGGTGTCGGATCCTGGGAGGCATCCCCCAGTCACCATGGCTACCAAGTCATGGTCCATGACTGGATGATTTGGGGTACTATGACTTCGGAAAACACCAGAAAACGAAGATCGGAATCCGATCGGCACGGTGTTTTTCGGCACTTTCCGACGTTCAGGAGCATCAAGCACTGGACAAAAACATCTTTGAAGATCTTGCCGCCATGGCTGCGGAGATTGAAGACTTGGAAGAGATGGCAGTGACCAAGGTGAACGCAATGAAAGGCCCAAGTTGCAGGAAAATCATGCGGATAGAAAGGGACCATCGAAACGGATTTCATATGTTTAATGAACATATGTAAACCATCAACTAAAAGGATTCTATTGGAATTTATAGGATCTAATGGGTTTTAACATGTTTTAACTGGCAATTCAGAAAGGGATGTAATGGAATACACTGGCATATAGCATCAACTTGATATGATATATATATATATATTGATATATAATATGAATAATGAGATATCATGGGATACCTATGTTATCTATGTTTATCTATGTTTATTTGCTGCATGTTTATCTATGGGTATCTGAGTTCATCTAAGCAAGAAACCTGCGGAGTTAACCATCCATTTCAGCGGGATGAAAAACACCATTTAACCAACGAAAAAATGGTGGTGTCATGAAGATTTAATGCTGATAAAGGTCGTTTCATGGGGGATAATGATGGTATACGATTTTTGTGGGGGGTTGGTTTCCCTCTCCCCGGTATTTTTTTCCCAGCCCAGTTTGTACCCACTCAGCAAGCCAGCAAGCCAGCCAGCAAGCAAGCAAACCACGCAAGTAAGCCAGAGCAAGCCAAGCCAGGAAGGCAGCAAACAAGCAATTGAGGAAGCAAGCAAGTAAGCAAGCGAGCCAGCCAGCCAGCCACCATAAATAAAGTTTTGAGCCAATCGTAGATAAACCCTCAAGCCAGGCCAACCATTGAGAAAAATTACGAACCAACCTTCAATAAAGGCCGAAAGCAACCCTAAACCAACTTTAAATAAAGTTCTAAGCCAGCCGCAACCCAAATCCAACCTTGCTTAAGCTTTGAAGGAACTTCAATATGTAAGCTAACTTTAACTAAACCGTAAGTAAAGCCTTCAACCAAACTTTAACTAACCCTAAACAAGACTCACAATTCAAACAAGAACAAAGCTTAGATAAACCTTAAATCAAACATAAAAAATGCAAAACCAACTGTAAAGAAAACCTTGAACCAGCCCTCAATAGAAAGACAAACCAGCCCTTAATAAAGCACCAGCCAATTTGAAATACAGTTTGAAACCAACATCAAAGGACCCGTAAAAAAAATAACACTAAACCTTAAACCAACTCTAAGTACACCGCAAATCAACCTTAAATAGGTTTTACCAGCCCCAAACCAATTCTCAACCAAACCGTAAACCTATTTAAAACATAAAATACAACAGCACTAAATCAACCCTAAACCAACTTGAATTAGCCATTAAACCAACTTTAAATAAACCCTTAACAATTTTAAATCCATTTGCAACCAACATTCAATGGAAAATCAAACCAACCTTCAAAAATCCCTAAACCAACCCAGCAACCATAAAGAAAACCTTAATCCAACCCCAAATAACTAGCCTTAAATCAATCCTTTCTAATATTAAACCCCCACGAATAGGAAATTGTAAACAAACCTTAAAGTCAAACCTCAAGCCAGCTTTAAATTTTCCGCCAACCTTAAATAAACCCTGAAACGAATGCCAAATAAAGGTTTAACCCAACCCAAAATAACCCCAAATCCAAACCTACCTGAACACAAATGAACTTTTGGCAAATTGAATTTTCAATAAACCTTACACCAACCTTAAGCCAACCAGCAATAAACCACTGACCCAACCCGGAATCAACCCTAAACCAACCCAAAAGAAAATTAAACCACATGAATCTTAAAAACACAAAACACACCATAAACAAAACCCAAAACTAATGTTAAATAAACATTACGCTAACATTGAATAAATCCAGAGTCCAGGGTAAACCTTAAGCTAACACTAAACCCACCCAAACTGAACCCTAAATAATCTTAAATACAATTTCAAGACGACCAACCAAACCTAAACCAACCCTGAACAGATCTTAAAAGAAAAAAACAAAATACCTTCACCCAAGCCGAAACAAATCCTACAGCATCCCTAACAACATGATATTTGAACCAACCCTAAAACTCAGCGGACTCCTACCTCAACCGCAGACTGACCCTAAACAACATATTGAAACACACTAAAGCAACATTACACAAACCCGGAAACCATGCACAAACCAGCCTTAAGCCGACCTGAAATAATTAAGCCAACCCACGGTACCTTCAACCAACCCTAACCACACACAGCCCCAACAACACTTCTAGCTGAACCAACCCCCAAAAGGCCAAACTGCTGCAGGTAACGTAGAAGTGGCAGCTGCTAGCTCCAACAAAATGCTGCACTTACCTTCAGTTTCTAGCCCCAAAATGCTGCAATTACCGTGGAAATGGTTCCAAAACGTTGCTAATACTGTCGACGTGGCAGCTTCGAGGTTTAACATGCTGCAAATAGCCAGGGAATCGATGCGGCATTGACAGGGAAAACAATTCCCTAGGAGGGAGGAAAAATTCCCTGGCGCAAACTGGTACTGATAATGATGGTATATGTATATAGAGTATATGTATATGCGTATCTGGATATGTGTATGCATGTGTATACATAACTTTTATATAACCAACCGTAGAAAGTCATTTGATGGGGATTGGTTCTGTGGGTGTTATGGGTATTTGGCCAAACAACATGGGGATACAAGTAGGATGCAATTGGGATACACGTGGAATATATAAGAAACTTCATATTATGTGGCGCCACGTGCAGTTCGTAAGCGCCAAAAAGATGAAGAAGTTAGTGTTGTATGACAACATCCCATGCAGGTCATGATTCAATACTATGGTTTCTGTAGGATTTTGCTGTCCGTGGCCCATCGAAAACGCTCTAGCTCCAGGCTTAGTTCCTGAACTGCCTGGGGTGATGCCAGACATGGTTCCTTGCCCCATCTACGCCACTGTTTGTGTGGGAAACTCCTGAGTGAAATGGTGATTTCATAGAAATTTGATGGGATTTCATCATAAATTTTAGACCATTTAATAACCAACTACTATGATCTACTACTGCACAGGGACAGAATGGGGATATGTGTAATTGGGATATGTAAGCAACTTTACATGAGTTGGATTTGTCCAATTTCTTGCACGGAAAATGGCAATAAGCCAGTAGATGTTGGGATATTTTGGGGCACCCTGGCACCCTGTGTTCATTGGGCATTTGGGCATTTCCTGATACAGAGGGTACCATAAACCCATGGGTTTCAATATTGTTTCAATACTAAGATATCTAAAATGTTCTTTTTTTATCTGGGATGATTTTAAGGGATCTTATTTCAGGCAACCCCCATTTAGGAACCAAGCGAAACTTGATGGACTTTGGGACATCCCTCTGGCAGCTTGAATTTGCATCAAAAAGCCCAAATGAATCACCGTTAATTCCAGTTTCAGGGAAAAGTTGCAGGAATTTTCTTGTGTGAAAACCCGATTTCGATTTTCCATCAAAACATCTGCGACCGAGCGCTTCACCTGCCATAAGGCCATTGAGGATGAAGCAATTTGCTCATCTGCAAGCTCACCCGACTCACAAAGTCCCGACTTTGAGGCAGTACCCACCAACGACACAGGTCGGAAATGTGTGTGTGTGTGTTTTTGTGGCGCGGCAAAAAGACAAGCTCATAGAAATGTCGCTAGGTTTTCCCAGGCCTTTTTTCTGTGACCACATCACCACTGCGGAAGTTACTGGTGAAAATTGGTCTTTTTCCCAGGCAATCGGTCACCACGAAAAGCGTCTTGGCGAGTCTGCCTGCTGGTGTTGGATAAGAGACATGGAAATCTCTCATGAAACCTTAAGACTTACCATCTGGTTATTTAACATAACCATGGAAAATCGCCATTTCTTATAGGTAAACCCTCTATAAATGGGCCATTTTCCATGGCTATGTTAAATAACCAGAGGGTAACCTTAAGAAAAAGAGGGCCGGGCCTGATCAATTTGAGTAGACAAGGTCCATGGTTTGCGAGTTCCATACTGAATCATACTGAATTTCTGAACGGCGTACTCGAATTCACAGCGGATGACTGTCCGAGAGTTGACCTTCGGATGGCCTAAACTCCAGCGGTAGAGGGGGGATCCAGTAGACCCAGCGACATGGATTCAAAACCTCGGGACCAGCCGGTGTCATCATGCCAGTGGCACTGGGAAATCCATGGAAATCCTCTCCGTAATGGAGGTTTCAAATGCTTTTCATCGGAAAATCCATCTTATAAATCGGGGATTTTCCAGCACGTCACGTTGACACCGGACGGGTAAACATCAACAGCTCAACGGGACATGAAGATTTCACTCCATCAAAGGTTCATCCCACTGGGTTAGAAACTGGATGGTATAGCAGAAAATGTTCATCATCCAGATATGGATTGGTATTATATATATAATAAATTATAATAATATATATTAATATATAAAATATAATTTAATATCATATAAAGATAGAAGTTTAATTGCATCCCATACTGCGAAGCCAAGCCAGTGGAGATTCTCCGTGGAATTCGGCCAGTTTGGGGGCCGCGGCTTCATTTGCTGTAAGGTACGACGTCACACCTGGGGTTTGCCCATGCCTTCTCAGCTTCAGAAGGAGGTCCGGGAAACGCTTCAACGTTTCACCCGCTCCGGGCGCAGCACTTGCGAAGCCTTCACGGGCCTCGCGTAGTGCGCCCTTGAGCCACGGTCCACACGAAAGGGAGGAAGTTGGGATCCCCGTTTGTTTATGGCATGTGTTCCTGGTTGACCCGAGTTAGCAGAATCGATTAGTGGAACCAGATGTAGAACCTGATATATTTCCTTGTTCCAGCTTTGGAAGGATTGGGCTCCAAGTGACTCACATGTTTGCCCCTTGGAACCGTACGTAGGTTACCACAATTCCCCGTTTTGCGGAGGTTTGCGGCCTAGCAAGATGGTATCCCAGATCACAAGTCTTCATCCCGTGTGGAAACGAAAGGCAGATCAGTAATCTCGAAATGACCGGCACACAAGTGGTTGGCTTGCCCGCCGAGCAGGGCTGCTATGGCTCGACAAGGCTACCTTGAGACTGTCAAGATGTATTTCATGGATGCGAGTTGTGTTGTTGTGAATTTCAAAACACTCAAGAGATCTGAAACGTATGAGGCTATGTCACAGTCCAAAACGGAAGAAACCGTTGCATAAAGCATTCCAAGTATGCTGAAGGTCGCCTTCAAATTTACGTTTCGTCATCCCATGTGCACCCTGCAGTCAGGGCCTTTCAAGAAAGCCACTGACAGCACAAGAGACTGCGCCGGTTCTTCGTTTCGAACTTTTCAAGTTCCAAGGGCACACCCGGAAGCCCTTCAGCATGGACTGTCGTAGGCCACTGGGTGGTTGTGTTAAGATATGGTGCGGAAAAATGACTGCACTCCATTGATTATGAAAGCCCCTTGTGGATTTGGCGATTGCATTGCAATCATTTATTTGATCTGATCTTGGCATTTCAAATTGCGTCATTTGAAATTATCGAACTTTGAATTTGGTGTTTAAGCAGTTGAAAAAGCACCATGAAATGGTCGCTTGGAAGCTGCGTTGTTCACAACCAGGGCGTCGATCAAAACTTGCTTTGTTTTTTGATGGGAAATAGTCTTCACGGTGATGGTATAGGTTATTTGAAAGCAAAGTGAAAATTGAAAGCCTCACAAGTTACAGTAACTCTGCAGCTAGAAATGACCGTTTTCAGTTTGCTGCTCATGTTTGGCTTCCACTTTGATTTTGATCGGCATGAATTTGAAAGCCTAGTTTGTGCTTGCAGGCGGTTCAAGGTCTGCCTGGATGAGTCATTTAATCATGGCCTCAATTCGCGAGGCGTTCAAGTGGAAAGTCACCGTGGACTAAGATTTGATTGTGGTTTGAAACGTCGTTTGAATTTACTCAAGCCAGAACTAGATGGTGTTGTACGAAAAATAACTAGCGATCTCCAACATTGTACTGCATTTTCGAGCCATACTCATTTCGGGTGACTTGCACACTTGCTTAATTTAACATATTTAATCTGGTTGGTGGTTTGGAACATTTGGATACATTTGGATTATTTTTCCATATATTGATAATCATCCCACTGACGAACTCATATTTTTCAGAGGGGTGGCTCAACCACCAACCAGCAACTTTCAAGTCTTAAGCCATCGAATCACGGTCCCCATGTTGACTGTGGCATGGCCGGTAGTGTGTGACTCCAGTTGTATATCTAGCCACAAATGTACAGCACAACGTGGCACCCCAGAAGAGCAGCCAGAAATGGATGAATCATGATGAATCCAAGGCCGTCGGCAAGGGTTTGAATCCACTTAACAGACCATGGATGTTTGAATGGTACAATATGGATATTTCTATGGTACAATCAAGAGTCAAGTATCATGTCGTCCTGGGATGGAATATGATGGAGTGTGGAAATTTCATGAAAAAGATGTCATGATGTTGGAGGATTTGTTGAGGTATCTACATTTACTCCAGGGTGAATGATATATACCGACAAAATTATTGTAACATGTTGTAACGCTAATTTAGTCTTTGCTTCGCCTTGGCCTTTCCGAGGTTGCACAAACCTTCATAACCGATAGGGGACGACCCTATACCGATACCCCATTTGTGATACCTCCGGGAATACTGAAATCCTCACAACCGATAGGGGACGACCTTAATTTGTGCATGGCATTAAATTTAACATATAATTTTGTCCGCTACTCATATATATATATATAATGTGTATATATATATATACATAATATTATAAATATAATGTATATATTATATCTAATCAGTGACATTGGTTGTGGTTTCAGAGGCTTATATAGTTCAGTTGTTGCCATCCCCAAGCGGCCATAGCCCTCTGCACCATCGAGATGTGGAGTTGTTCTGAATCCAATCGAATGTGTGGTTTGGTACTGGCCCTATGCATTTTGGTTGATGATTATAGTCATTTCATATGGTTTTAACATGTTTTAACCATCAAAATGTATGGAAATAAGTGGATATAACATGATATAATTGATAAATGATGGTTGATTGATGATTAGTTGGGGGATAAAAAACTACCCTTTATATTAGTTGGGGATTCTAACAATCCAAGAACGGTTAAGTTCCTCCCGTTCTTAAGCAACCAGTATTTCAGGGGATGGATCCCTATTGCGATCCCCTATGAAAAATCGTGTTTGGCTGTGCAAAACCTCTTATATCATCCAAAAATATCCCCATGAAATCTACTAAATCCCATGAGACTTTATTAAAATCCCATTAAATCCTATTAGTTGATGGTTTTAACCCCAAAAAAATATTCCCATTTTAAGATCCCAATGGTCCCATCATCATTTCGGGACCCAGGGCCGTTTAGAAGATTTCCTCAGCTACGTAGCGCAAGTGGACAGCTATGCCGACAGCGATGCGAAGGACTTTTTTTTGGGAACCCGACTGGATGGAGAGTGACCAAAATTGGGTAAAACCCAATGTGGTAAACCTTTTGGTGAACTCAACATCACCTTTTGATAATAGTTGTACCAATGTTCATGGTATAAACTATGAACATGGTATTTCTTTATACTTCTAGTAATGTGATTAGATGTTCATAGTAATCAATAGTCAATGGCCATTTCAGGTACCTATACTGGAGGTACTGTACAATATAGCCATATTTTGGGGGCGGTATATCCCCTTACATAGACCTTATATATGGTATTAGATATGATTATAGATTGTTGTAGATGGTATATAGATGGTTGTGGTTATAGATGGTATACAGGTGTTTATCATTGTAATACAAAGTAGTGCTCGAAAGTACTTCGGTGCAAGCTTTGTAGTACAAAGTAGTACTGGGGAGTACTTTGTGCAAGTCTTGTAATACAAAGTAGTACTGGGAAGTGCTTCGTGCAAGCGTTGTAGTACAAAGTAGTAGCTTCGTAGTACAAAGTAGGACTAAGAAGTGCTTTGTGTAAGTCTTGTAGTACAAAGTAGTACTGGGAAGTGCTTTGTGCAAGTCTTGTAGTACAAAGTAGTACTGGGATGTGCCTTGCGCAAGCTCTGTAGCACAACGTAGTACTGGGAAGTTCTTTGTGCAAAGTTTGTAGTAGAATGTAGTAGGGAACGGGAACTATTTTGTGCAAGTCTTGTAGTACTGGGAAGCTTTTGTTGAAAGCTGAGATGACATATGAGAAGAGATGAGAAGAGATGAGCTCCGATAAAGGTGGGAAGAGTTCAGATGAGATGAAGTGTGGAGTGTGAAGAGTGCAGTGTGAAGTGTGGGGCGTGAAGAGTGCAGTGTGAAGAGTGAAGTGTGAAGTGTGGAGTGTGAAGTGTGAAGTGTGGAGTGTGAAGAAAGCAGTGAGAAGTGTGGAGTGTGAAGTGTGGAGTCTTAAGAGTGCAGTGTGAAGTGTGGAGCGTGAAGTGTGGAGTGTGAAGAGTGCAGTGAGAAGTGTGGAGTGTTAAGTGTGGAGTGTGGAGTGTGAAGAGTGCAGTGAGAAGTGTGGAGTGTGAAGTGTGGAGTGTGGAGTGTGAAGAGTGCAGTGAGAAGTGTGAAGTGCGAAGTGGAGCTTCAAGTGTGACATTTGAAACAGGACACCACTTTCGCAGAATGCACGCACGCACAGGCCTGGCTGGCGCACGGCGCATGCAAGTTCTATAGATGAGAAAGGTCTTATAGTATATCCCTAAGGCAACTTCCGCCCCGCCTTGTGCGGGTACTACTGGTAGATGTTTATATAATGTTATAATTTTATAGATGGTATACAGATGGTTATAGATGATGATAGATGGTAATGTGCATGGATAGTTTTAGATGTTTATAGATATTTGTAGTACTGTGGTAAACCTCCGAGTTTATACAATCCATGAGAATGGTGATATTGGGGATGGTTTTTATTGGGTTAATCACATTAACCAAAAAAAACGAAAAGGTTCAATCACCACGATTTTTACTGCGTGGGATTTATTTGCGTGTATCTTTCTCTGGGATTTTAACATCTTTTGCTGCAAGGGGGGGATATCCTGTCATCCAAAGGGGTTGCTTTACATTCCGTTAATCTAACGTGGCAATGTAAAATCCACCATTTCTTGATCCCATCTCGACCTCCATGTACAGGGGATTTCCCATTGCCACGTTTGATGACACCGGAGAGTATTAGCGCCAAGGTTAAACTCCCCATTTTGCCCCAGGCCAATCTCAACCACCGAAGCACTGGGGCATTGTTGAGAGATGTGGATTAGTCTGGGAGTGGGGAGCCGCGTTTTAAAAGATAAAACCCCATGTTTCTAATATAGAAAGGATCCAATGACTATAAACTGGGCTGGGGAAAAACCTAAAAAACAAACAAAAAACATGGCAAAAGTCAAAACATGTTTTTTTCCGCCAAACATTGATGGTTAATTCCCCAGTATTGCGGGTACATCAGCATGATGTGGTTTCCGCATGGGAGACGAGAGAAAGTCGGCAGTTGAACCTTGCTGACATGAGGTTCAAAAGAAAAATGTTTGAAGATTGGTTGTGGTTTGTTGTTGTTTTTTTCAAGTTCCCACGGTTCAACTTGAGAAAAAAATCGGAAAGACTCAAGATTTTCCAACGACTACTGTAGATTCTCAGAGGGAAACCCAAGGCCGTGAACACTTTCCATGCGCAGGAACAACGACCCTGACAAGCTGCAAAAAAAGGAAACTGCGCGAAAGAGAGCGCCATGGTTGGCCATGGCTGTAGTATCTGGGTTTGGGCCCCCAGGGTTTTGGTTGGGAATTATAGGGAAAATGTCAAGTTCCGGTCCGGTCATGAGATTAAGCAGATTTTGCGATACCTTGATTTTCAAATTTTCGCAATCCAGTTTTCGACAAAAAAGTGGCACATGACTCGGGATGACAAATGGATTGTGTTTAGCCAGTGCTCAGATGTGATGTACGTCGCTACCTATATCAACATATATCAGCCGCAATGGATGCACCGGTGCCTTGACCGTGCAGCAGGCATGTCTTCAACAAATTTGTGATACCTATACGCTGTACCTGGAACCTTTGTCATACACTCGGCAATGAGATGTTTCAAACCCCCATAAGTTAAATCATGTTAATTCACTGAACAAATC